AACCACATGGTGGCTCAAACCATCCGTAATAAGATCTGGTGCCCTCTTCTGGCCTGCAAGCATGCATGTAGGCAGAATGCTGTATCCATAACAAATAAATAAATAAATAAATAAATAAATAAATAAATAAATAAATAAATCTTAAAAAAAAAAAATCCCCCAATGAATGAGCATGAGGACATGACCGATCCTAGGTGTGGTTGAAGAGACGGGTTTTATTGTTGATAAGAGGGAAGGAACAGCCAGAGGTATCCGGAAGAGGCCAGATTGAGGGTTATGAGAGGAGAAAAAGTGGGGAGAGTGAGAGAGGAAGAGAAGAGAGAGGGAAGAAGAAAGGACAAATGGACAGAGAGAGGTCCAGGAGCAGAGCTAAGAGAAGAACGGGAGAACATGTGGCTGAAATGTCTGGGTTATGTAGGAAAGTGAAGCTGGGGAAGGGAGACGAAGCTCAGGGGCTGGAGGCTTAGGGTGGGGGCAGGGCATGCCAGCCAGGATGACTGTACAGGTACTTGTGGATAGGGACTGAGGGAGCCCAGAGGCTGGCATGGACCTTGAGATGCCAATAGGCCCCAGGCATAGGTTAACAGAGGAGCCATAGAGGTGACATATGTCCCTTTTGCCAGAGATAAGGTAGGGACTATCTTCTCAAGTCCCTGAGGGAATTCTGGCTTTTGTCTGAATGCCAGATTGGGGGGTGGGGGAGGAATTTCTTGGGACCTAACACAGGTCATCACGGTGAGAAGGCATGGTAGCAGGAACGTGAGGCAGCTAGTTGCATATCTTACTAAAAGTCAGGAAGCAGAATAATAGTGCTCAGCAATCTCTCTCATTTTTATTCAGTCTATGTCCCCAGCATGTGGAGGATCTTCCTTTCTCCATCAAATCAACAAACTCCACAGATACACCCAGATTTCCATGGGTGATTGTAAATTCAATCAAGTTGACAAGAAGATTAACCGTCGTATATATTATATAGTTCAGGCTGATGCTGACCCTCAGACTCCCTGAGGGTCAGTTCACTGTCAGGGCTAGATTCACTGTAGGTTTTTAACTTCTTTGCCTTTTTGAGGGGTGGTGAATCGAGGTATGTGTCCTAGTGGACAATCCTCAGGTTACTGGGGATGTGGCCTTGAGAGGACTGTGGAGTACTGACCTTTGCCGGCATTTGCTCTGTTCTGTGCTTCCCTGTGATGGATGTATCCTAGTCAGATCTCAAAGCAAATGGACTGCCGCCTTTAATCCCAGCACTCGGGAGGCAGAGCCAGGAGGATCTCTGTGAGTTCGAGGCCAGCCTGGACTACCAAGTGAGTCCCAGGAGAGGCACAAAGCTACACAGAGAAACCCTGTCTCGAAAAACCAAAAAAAAAAAAAAAAAAAAAAAAAAGAAACCAAAGCAAATGGACTGCTAATCTTGGATGGAACTTCAGGGCTGTGGACCAAAATAAACCATTTTCTTCATTAGTTAATGGTCTCAGGTATTATGCTTTAGGAATAGAAGGTTGACCAGCACAAGGAAATACGTGCATGCCTTTCTGCCCTGGTAATGCCTAACCGACAGGTTATACCATGCAGCTTTGGTTTATTACATTCCAATTACATTAGTTGGGTGACTTTGCTCTGTCTTTATTCTGCTTACAGGGCCAAAAACAATTCATGTGCAATTCAAATTTTCATTTGTTTCAGATTATTACTGTAACATCAGGCATATGGAAATCTACTGATTGATAGATATTTATTTATATGATTTGATCTATGTACTTACTTTTGTCCTTTTTGAATGTTAATCTCCCTTTGATCTAGAACATTCAATGGCAGATAATGATATTCCTAAGCACTTATATCTTGCATTTAGTGTATGCATTTTATTTTACTTGAAACAGAAGATAATAACTTTCATATGTTGCAACAAGGTCATATTTGTCAAAGCCAACTGTTTTTTCCTGTTTATTTTCATGTCTGCTATATTCTTCCCTTTTTCTCAGGTTGTCTCTAACTAGCTTTGTGTGATTTGTGGTCAGTGTGTGGAGTTTCTCTGTGGTTTCGTCAGTTCTTGGTCTCGGCCTCTCCTGCGCTCTGAGGCTAGAAAACCTTTCAGTGGGGTGTATCGGGAATTCAGAGAAGAAAATTGCAAGCACCTTTGGGTTTTGTTCTGCCCTCCCATTGTTTCTTGCCTGTGTCGTTCGGCTTTGTCTCCTAAGTGTGTTTTAGCTAGCTGTGGCCTCAGAAGGGAAGTCACGCATGCTCTCCCTGTGGGGAATAGGCGGGGCGGGGTGGTGGTGGGGTCGTGCTTTAACTCAGGGCAGGGGTGGGAAAAGCCAGCTTCCTTTCTACTCCTGCTGAGGGTGAGTAAGGTGAGCCTTACCCCAAACGTCCTCTCCACCCTCTGTTTACTTCACATATGTTGATTCTCTCTTGGCCAAGGCAGGAGAGGGAGCGGCAGGGCAGCCTCAGGTGAGGGCAGGCAGGGCAGCCTCAGCAGGCAGCCTCAGGTGAGGGCAGTGGAAGGCGTGATGGTGGCTGGCTTGTGCTTTAGGCTGTTGTCACCCCACCTGCTCTGTGATTACCTGTTTTCTTACTCAGGCAGGTGGTGGGGGTCAGAGGGGACCCCACTCCAGCTTTGGAGGAGTCAATTGAGTTGATCCTTCAGCCATCCTGCCATGCACTGAAATTTGGAAAGTCAGCTCCCTGTGAAGTTACTGAATCGGTTAAACTGGCAAATGCTTGGTTGTGTCCTTTACCACAAAAGAACTCCTCCCTCCCTCCCTCCTTTCTTTTCTTTCTTTCTTTCTTTCTTTCTTTCTTTCTTTCTTTCTTTCTTTCTTTCTTTCTTTCTTTCTTTCTTTCTTTTCGATACAGGGCTTCTCTACATAATCCTGGCTGTCACAGAACTCTCCATGTAGACCAGGCTGGCTTTGAACTCAGAGTTCCACTTGCCTCTGCCTCCCGAGTGCTGATATTAAAGACATGCACTACCACACCTGGCTTCTTATTTTGATTCTTTGAAGAAATGAGCACTTAGATTTATTTATTTTTATCTTATGTGTGTGGGTGTTTCACCTGCACTGTATGTCTGTGTACCATGTGCCTGCCCGGTGCCCAGGCAGGCCAGAAGAGGATGCTGGATCCCCTAGAACTGGAGTTACAGATGGTTGTGAGCTGCCACGTAGGCCTGGGAACTGAACTCGGGTCTTTTGGAAGAGTAACAGATGCTCTGAACCAGAGTCATCTCTCCAGCCTCTTGCTCCGGTTCTGATGACAGCGCTCTCACTGGTTCCCCGGGTAGGCTCGAAGCTCCCCATCTTGCCATCTCGTGCAGGCTTTACTTTAATAACGGTTGTTTCACAGTGGCAGAAAACATCTGCCTTCAAGGAACTCTCAGGCTTCGGCCAAGAGACGAATTTTCCAGTTAGCCAGGAGCATGCAGACCCTGAGCTGGAAGGACCTCCTTTCCTGCTATAGAAGGAGCAGGGCTCCTCAGCCCATACCTGTGGCAGATCAGCCCAGGAGAGGCCATGGATTTCCCCCAACAGTGAACGCAGGCTTAGGGGTGCTCTGGGGGTGGCGGTGTGGAGCCTGTCTATGGCTATGAGTGCTATAGCTGTTGACCAGCATCAGCACTGAGGAGACTCTCTCACCAGGACCCCCACTTTAAAGGGAGGTAGGGACCCTGGGTCAAGTTCTGATTTGAGTTCCTGGACAAGAAGTTCCCCAGAGCCTCTCCTCGTCCGTCCTGCTATGCTGACATGGAATAATTTGGCCCTCAGCTGTTTAATTGTCTCTCCTCAGTACTTAGCTATTTCCCATAAAGCCAAAATTCAGGAACAGGAAGTTTCTGGGACATAAAAGGTCCTGGGGGATGGCTGGCCTAGGAAACAGAGCTCCTAAATGCAGAGCACACTTCTGAACTTGGCTTCCGCTTTTCTTCTCACTCTGCTGGGCCTCAAGGAATGCTGGATAACTAGATCCCCCACAGGTAATTAGACTCCTCTGCTGGGTCGCTCCACTGCATAGTCAGGAGAGGAAGACAAGTTTGGGTCCTGGACAAGTAAGGGGCTCTGTCACTCTGCACCAAGAATCCTCCACCCCTTCCTGTTAACAGCTGGACTGCTCCATTGCAGCACTTCCCACATTGGCGCCAAGGGGACCCCAGACCCTAGGAATTCTGGGTACATTCAAATCCACTGTGGCGGTTTAAGAGGAAAAGAATTGCAGGACGTGGGAGCAAGTTCTCCAGACACGGGGAAAGGCTGGGTGGACTCTGAGGGTCTGACTTGGGAACTGAAAGCAAGTACTCTTGAGAAGGGACCACTGAGATGAACTGTCAGCATTGCTCTGGGGACTCCAAGAGACTTGCAAACTTGAGGTGCAAGCATGGACGTGGCCGCCACCACACCTGGGTCTGGCCCGTGGCAAGATCTACTCGGGGAGGGTGAGTGACCCCTCTGTACAAGGATGCTGCTGCACAGCCAAGGTCACAGGGAGCTGGGAGGTCCAGACTCCCCAGAAGCTTGCAGAACGTCCTTTGGGTTTGCTGCACTCATGAAAGCAAGTAACAAGGTCATTGTGTGGCCCTCATCCTAAACTTCTCACGCTGGAGTCTGAAGTAAACACATGTGTTGCTGCTGGAAGCTTCCATCACAGAACCCAGTGTGTTGTGTCTGAGCTCATTCCAGGAGCCCAGAGCCTCAACTCAGAGGTCCTCATAGAACTGAGATGCAGCTTGTCTGGATAGAATGTGCATAGGAACCTAATCTGGTAACACCTCTGTGGACTGGACACTCCCTGAATCATTGTTCTGGATCATTTCTGGGCATTTTGGGGACAGGAGCCAGAAGAGAGTAAAGCTCATACCCCTCACCCCCAACCCACCGAGAGCTCTGGTCAGTCATTGCCCACTGCAGGTGGCCAGAAACCTGTCAAGTTGAGGGCACCTTGCTGGCATCAGACTGGGAAGATGCACGATGAGTTCAAGATTGGTTCAGGGACAGAGAGTCACAGCACAGAGGCCAGCACATGCACTTTATTGAATCCACTGTGGACAGATGTGTGAGGGTAACAATTGCGTATGTGGGGGGTAAAGGGTCAGGACTAAGAGTAGGGTGTGGGGCGATTGTAGACAGCGGAACACAAGGCAGGACTAGAAGCCTCTGGAACCGATTATCGTCTGCCAAAATTCTGCAAGGTGCTTAATGTGTAGATGAAAACAATGATGAAGACAATAGTCGTAAAGATGCTGAAGACCATGGCACAGATGTTGAGGCACTTGGCAGTGGAGGCGTAGGTCTGGGCCCCAGTCATATCGCCCACCATCTTCCTGTCCCTAGACTGGAGCAGAGCAGATGGTCAGTGGCCCTGGAGCCCAACAACTGAGAGACAGGTGTCCTGACTCAGTTCTTCCATTATCTTCCCAGCATTCCCCTTTACCTTTCAGGCCAGGGACCTTCTTCCACTTTCACACACTCAAGACTACCCCGAGAGACCTAGCTCTAATTTACCCCACTGTTTCCTGTGAGTCCCCTGTGCACTTTCTACCCAGCCTGGAGTCCTAGTCTCCAGGGTGAAGGGACATTCCATGAACCAGCAAGTAAGTAAAATTCTTCTGGACTATAGGCTAGGATGGAGATACCCTGACCCAGGGATCCCCAGGCTCCTCCCTTGTGACTACCTGGACATTCCGCAACACACACACTCACACACACACACACACACACACACACACACACACACACACACACAAAGATGATACATATAAACTCACACACCGACAAGATTCCCAGCCCTCCCCCACCCCCCGCAACACCCCAGGTACCATCAGAGCAAGACAAGCTTGAGGTTCAAATACAATACCTTCACAGAGTAGGCATACGCTATGAAGCCCAGGCAGCAGAAGTTCAAGAAGAGTGCATTGAACGTGGACCAGATCACATGATCGGGCTGGGAGATCTCACCAGGCATGTTGATAGTGGTGGTTGTTGTAGAAGTTGAGACTTGGGGTGCCCCCAGCACAACCATCTCTGGGTGCTCCTTAGGCATCTCTTGGCTTTCGAGGCTGTAAGAGCTGTGAATACAGAAGGAATGGGAAATGTGGCTCACCCTGAGAAGTCTGGAAGCTGCCGCACAGCGGGCCTGCCTTTTCCCCAATGGGGTCTATTTCTCGGAAAACTGCCTCCTTATTTTTGTAAGTTGGTGTGTTTTCTAGGGCCTGGGAGTAAGAACAAATAATGGTTTTAAGTTACCACTAGGGCCGTGTGCAGGGAGGGCCACTCCTAGGCCTTTTCAAGCCCTTGGAAGGAATCCCCAGAGGCTGGAGGGAAGCAGCCCACCCTCCACTGGGGAGAAGAAATGACATCAGTAATCCCAAGTGTGGGGGTTACAGTAAGTAGACAGGAGCAGCATGACCGCCCTGTAGCGTGCTTTGAGGGATGATGACTTTGTTTTGTTTTGTTTTTCAAGACAGGGTTTCTCTGTGTAACAGACCTGGCTGTCCTGGAACTTGCTCTGTAGACCAGGCTGGCCTTGAACTCACAGAGATCCACCTGCCTCTGCCTCCCAAATGCTGGAATTAAAGGTGTGCGCCACCCCCTCCTGACTGAATGATGACTTTTTTGTATGTTTGTTTGGTTGGTTTTAATCTAACTCCCGTATGTTGTAATAGACAATGAGGTACAAATTGTCAGAGATTCTAACCTCGGCCTTCTGTACAAATAGGGCCGAGAGCTCATGATTCTGTATTTTTAGCTGATCTGCTTTTGCCTTTGGGCAATCGTTTCAGAAGCTGAAGTTGAAAGAAAAACAATGGCCTCTAGGACTGGAATTCCCCAGAGATAACTGTACCCGCATCCTGCCCAAAGCAGCTGCATGTGGTTAAAAGGTGTGTGTGTGTGTGGGGGGGGGTATTAGAATGACTTACAGGCCGTGGTCCAAGTAGTCCAACAGTGGCTGTGTCCTGGTGGAAAGGCCAAAGATCCAGTAGCTGTCCACAGACCAAATGTGTCAGCTGCCTCAATGTGGTGCTCGAGTCCCAGGGAGGTCCCAGAGAGCTACGTTCGAATCCTGAAGAAGCAGGTTCTAATACCAGCAAAGGAATGTCCCGGGAGCAGGAGAGATGAACTTGCCAGTGAGAATGAACGTGAGAAGGCGAAAGACAAAAGCCTCCTTCTTCTATGTCCTTTTATGTAGGCTGCCACCAGAAGGTGTGGCCCAGATTTAGGGTGGGTCTTCAGATCTCAAGTAACAACCCCCGCCCCCCCAAAAAAATCCCTCCTGCTTCGATATTGGTTACTTCTAGATGTAGTCAGGTTGATAAGTAACATTAGTCATCCCAGCGTATATGAACCTTCTTGAATACACTGGCATCATCAGGACCACACCACCGCCTCAAGTCCTCTCTGCGTGCTAAGTGGCATCGCCTTACTTCCTCAATGTAGAAAGTAGGAAGCAACAGAGTCACTCCTCTCCCGCGTGCCCCCAAACCTCCATGCGGTTTCCCCTTTCCCTCTGAAGTAAAAGGCCCTAATAAAAACCTTGTCTGGGAACAACTGCCTTCTACCTCTGCGTCCATTTCTAGCTCTGAAGAACCTGGCGCCTGCAGCAACCTGATTTAAACTTGGCAAAGCCATCAGCACTTAATTTTACTTACAATGGGCATTTCAGATGCAAGGGATGACTAGCATCTAATACTACTTTCTGGGAAGACCCATCTACACAAAACCTGGAAAGCAGGCCAGCAGGGGTCTAAGAGAAGCAGCTTCAGATCTTTGTGGGGTGAAACACTGAACTATTTTGTGGAGGAAGGCAGAGCCTTCAGGTCAGGCCAGAGGAGGGAGGGGCACCAGGAAGCAGAACTGTGGGCAGCTCTCCGGCAGTTACCTGACCCTGGGCAGGGCAGTTGGCCCTTCCCAGGCAATGCCACCACCTTTGTTTGGGTGTGATCACAACCAAGAATGGGGAGCCAAAGGCACAGTGTCTAGGTATGTATTGCTGTGAAGAGACACCATGACTATGGCAACTCTTTTTTTTTTTTTTTTTTTTTTAAATTTTAGAAGCATAAACATTGATTTGTAACAAAGGAGTTTGTGTACAGTTTTTGAAAATCTACAACTTCTTGTTAAATTCACATTTGCACTTCTCCTTTGTAAACAAACTTTTATAATCATTATTTTATACAGATATAGATATAGATATGTAAATACAACATCGAGTTCAGTGGTCCTTCAGCATTTTCCACTTAAATGTTTTTTTTTTTTTTAACATAAAAATGGGTTATAATTCCAAAGTCCAGAGTTATTTGAAACTGGAAAATATTTTCTCTGTAGAAAATAGTAAAAATGATAACATTTCCCAATAAGCCCTTTAAAGCCAAATAATAGCTGAATTATACATATAAACATTGATTAGATTCTGGGATATAGAAGAAACCTATCTTTATCTGTTCAGAGAGCTATGTTTTACTTAAGTTGATTTACCGCAGATATTTTCTATAGGCTAATCCATAATCTAAAAAGATTTTAGCCTTCCCTCCTGAAAGTAAAATCAGGATTTTCGTTCATCAGCTTGATACCATCAATGCGTTAGGACCATATCTCACCATTGAAAGCACCAGGAGGTGGTATCCATTGCGATGCCTCTTACCTGGATCCCACTCTCCATTTCAGCTCACCTCTGGGATGCATTCTCAATAACTGATCTAAATTTGATCTTTGGACCCTCATCTTTGATAAGGATGCCATTTATGCCTTACTGGGCTCTCTGATACTCACCTATCCTTCTCAAATTCAGCCCAATATGACATCCATGAAGACTCTTCCTTTGGGCATATTCCACCTTGTCTGATACCAGCCACCCCTCTACCTGGCAACCTTCCCTGCTCCTTCTGCCCCATCTTTGACTTTTCCCTCTTCCCACTCTCCCTCCTCCACACCTGCAGAACTCTTCCCAACTGCTCCCCTTCCTTGTCCACAGACACACACTCTCTCACTCAAGGAACAAGTAAAAACATCCCCCTTTTCTCAGGGGACATGCCTTCCTTTCCTGAGGTGGCAAATGAAGACCTTAGTGTCCCCCAGGTACACGCCCCCTTCCCCTTATCTCTCCTGTCTGGAATACCATGCTCCAGCCTGCCATCATTGGTCCCAGGTGCAAGTCTCCTGTCCATGTTGTACTATTGAACATCATCTCTTTCTCCTTTCTTACCCTTCTGCCCCCTAGGTAAAGCAGCTGTTTGCTGTATCCCAGTTCTTCAGGGGAGCAGATGTCTTCTGTATTCTAAGTTGTAGTTACAGAGTTAACATGTTGTAATTACAGAGTTAACATGTTGTAATTACAAAGTTAGCATGTTGTAATTACAGAGTTAACATGTAAGATTTTCAGGCACACTGTGTCTTCCCTTCTGCCTTTATCACTAAGTTCTAAGTTCACTATCCAAGGTAATTGTAAACTTTATTATCTTGATATCTCTTGCTGGAGTGTAACTGTTAGACTCTTGGGGGACCAAAGAGGAAAAAAATGTAAAAGTACCTTAAAAAAAAATCTAAGCAGCTGTAATGCCTGCCTAGAACCAATGACAGATGATAACTTTACAGTTTCACAACATGTGGACAGGTAATTACATTGTTATAGAGTTCGAGACCACCGGGAAAAGAAAGACCCTCAGACTCAATTCAGACTTTAATTATCCAAATTTATTAAAGCTGCTAGCAGGGTCCCAGTCTCTAACCAAATCAGAGATGCACTGCCCGGAGGCTAGTGAAAGAGAGCTTTTAAAGGTGAAGACCGCAAGATGTCCTTGAATATCTGCACAAGGAAGCTACAGGAGGAGCCAAAGAGCCGGAAGGACCTTAAGGACCTTATTAACACAGTCCTTGAATATTTGCATAAGCTGGTTACAGAAGCCAAACCAGCAGTTAGTCATACCTTAACAAAGTAGATGGTCACGGCTGCACATTTCTGGGTGGGAGTCATGGAGTCAGGGTTGCTGGGAACCTATGTTCCAGAAACTTGAGTCAGAGACAAACGGTTAGTGGGTAGTGAGCTGGGTGCCCAGCACAAAATGAGTGCTATAGGTGTGACTTAGGTTCAGTTCTTTTAGTAAAGTGTAAATTTGCTTATTACTCTGCTGTCTCATGATAAGATGAATTTTTATATGATAAAATAAGAGTTTGTCTTAAGTAAAATAACCAGATTTTTTGTTGTTGTTTACTGTTACCAAGGCTAAAACTCAGTGCACTGGTTAAAACTAAAAATCTCCTCAGTTTAAAATGATGGGGTTCTTTAGGATTTTGATTTCTAATGCGAGTTGGTGGTGCACACCTCTAATCCTAGCACAAAGACAGAGGCAGGTGGATCTCTGAGTTCAAGGCCAGCCTCATCTACAGAGAGAGTTCCAAGACAACCAGGGCTAAACAGAGCAACTCTGTCAGAAGTTGAAGTACTTGTGGAACTGAGTAATAACCACACCAGAACTTACTTTAAAACAAGCAAACAAACAAACAAACAAACAAACAAAAAACTGTGTTTTTATCTAAGCTTACACAAAAGTTAAAACTAAAATTTAAAATTAAATTTATTACTTCCTCTTTATGGATGGTACAACTTTCCTTCTGAGTGTTCAACCAAGAAAAAACATACAGGTCAAAGCCAATGAGGACCAAAGGGATAATGGGACCCCTGTAAAGGGACCCTAGAACTCTTGAGTAGCCTGTGCTCTCCACTGGAAAGGCCCCGGGAACCCCTGGGGATTGTACTTTAACCCTCCTTCCTGCTGCAAAGTCACCTGAGGGGGAAGGGCCTCCCATGTACTGGAGGAAATTCACAGCCAGCAAGACCCTGGCCCATTACTACAGAGGGTGTGCTGGGAGAGGGAAATGGAGGGTCCTAGCGGTAACTCCACAGAGTCTCAGCCGCCTATAACGGAGAGAAAGATGATCTCATCTGTATTTACCTTTTAAAGTAGAATATGACCAAGCACTATATTTCCATTCAGACTTGAAGGGTTACAAGACCTAGGGAAGCGTAGGGTTTTGTTCTTGGTACTTTGGAAAACAAGCCACATGGGGAATTCTTCTGTTTTAGCTTGTGTTCTTCTAAGACTACAACATGCAGAATGACTACAGGGGATGAAAAA